CTTTGCATTGTGGTACTAAAAATGTTACCTTCTTTACCCTTTAATGACTATAAAAATGTATTCACTTAGTTTCAGATAACTGACAGATCTGTGCATCTCATGTCAGAATTTTTGCTCAAATAAGCACCTCTTCATAACTAAAAAGGATTTATTGCTTTAGTTTTTGCTGAGATTGTATCCTCAGTGTATCCGGCATGATTTACCATCAGATAACTTGCTGCTTTTATAAATAGCACAAAGCTGTACGCATGCAGCTCGTGCTAACTGCATTGATTTTTCTATGAATCTGCCTGCAGGCTGTGGGTCGCCTGCACCCAAACCCTGATCACACGAATACTGATCTGTGCTCTGGTGTCCATCGACAAAGCCCTGCGGTCACTGTCAGCATCAACAACATAGCACGACCTCTTTGACGCTCAACTGATCTCAGATTTATAACCCACAAAGTCCTCTGCTGAGGAAAAACAGAAGCAGGATTCAAACTTGTGCAAATTTGTGGGTAATTAAAAGATCAGATCACTTACAAAGTGGACCATCTTGCAGGAGCTGAGGCGGTCGTTCAGGCCCATCCAGCGCTGGTAGTCTGGGTACTCCCCCCTGGTCAGGACGTACTGGTAGCCCATGTAGTTGGGCCTCTCGTAGACCACCCAGGCGCCGCTCTCCACCCGAATGGAGTTGCAGCGGCTCAGGTAGGAGTGGAAGTCCGAGCAGTCGCTGTCGCACTCGTAGCGTCGGCCCTGGAAGTTCTTGTCCTCGTAGAAGACGATCTGAAAGAGCAAAAGGTTGGATATTTAATCAGCAAAGTGGCTGATTAAAGCTTCCTGACATTTAAACCAGGAAAACAGCCCAGTATCCCTGCAGACACGGTCTGTTCAGCAGCTTTGTCCAGCACCTAAACCCACATATCACCCCCTCACCTGCACACCACAGTGTCACACTCACCCGGCCCATCTTGGATATGATGTGTGGGTCAGCCGTGGTGATGCTGAGTGATGGTGTTGGTTCCCCTGAGGTCTCGATGTTGCGCTGGCCTTTCAGCCGCTGCCTTTTATATCCCCGCTTATAAACAGCAACAGCCGAGGCGAAAGGGAGGAACAATCGCTTTGTCATGAAAATGAGATCCAAAAATTGAGTCAGTGATTCTAGTGCTATTCAGTTTTTCCAGAAAAGCGAGAAAGGATTACGGCATAAAGGCCGGGCGCGGGTAAGCGTCCATTGACCCCACTTCTGTACTGGCTGGGTCCAGTGCCCACTGCAACACATGCCAGCTCCACCAGCTTGCCCCCACCTGTCGAGGACCTGCCAACTCATGACTTATTTCTGCTATTTGGATGAATCCAGACACAGTAGAGCGCTGTTTAGTGGTGGAAGTAGTTTTTACATCTGTTACCTGAGGAACAACAGCCATATACCGCTTTACAAATGCCTTAAGAAAAGTGAAAGCCCTTGATTCCAAACTTCAGTCTCCACAGCACAAAATATTATCAATACATTATCAAAAGTAAAAGTATGTCTGCAGAAAAAGGCGATATTATGGATGCTGTAGGACTGTTTGTATCACAGCATCCTATTTTACATTGTATATTTTCTATGGGGCTGCAAGGTGGCGCAGTTGGTAGCACTGTTGCCTCGCCGCAAGAAAGTTGCGGTTCGCGTCCCGGTGGGGGCACCGGAATCTTTCTGTGTGGAGTTTGCATGTTCTCCCCGTGCAGTGTGGGTTCTCTCCGGGTTCTCCGGCTTCCTCCCACACAGTCCAAAAACATGTTGAGGTTAATAGATGACTCTGAATTGTTCGTAGGTGTGAATGTGAGTGTGCTTGGTTGTCTGTCTCTAAGTGTAGCCCTGTGATAGACTGGTGACCTGTCCAGGGTGTCCCCTGCTTTCACCCTGAGTCAGCTGGGATAGACTCCAGCCCCCCCCCCGTGACCCCAGTGAGGATTAAGTGGTGTATAGATGATGGATGGATGGATGGATATTTTCTATGTAAAGTTAAATCTTAACTATGGTTGCAAACAAACGTAATGCAGTCTGTTCATTTCCTAGAATTTGAAGTGGAAGGTAAAAAGTTAAGTTTTTATTTAAGTGTGTAAAACTTCTACCACAAGTCGTGTTTCCTAACAGAGTACTGGTAGCAGCATCACGAGCACATTTCAGAACATTTCTTTATCATTCAAATGGACTGCATGAAGAATTTGTTCCTTATTATTATTATTATTATTATGTATGGCCACACACCTTTTGATTTATAGTGGATTTATATTTTCCCAACAGGGTTTTTTGTGGGCTGGAAATGGCATTACCAAGTGATAAAAGGACAGTAGTACATTGTTAAAGAGAAGTTCAAGATTCATTTGAACCATTTCGATACATTTTTCATTTACTTTTGGACAGTAAAATGTAGAAATAATTCAAATGTATCATTATATCCACTCTAATACAAAGTCTTTCTGTTTTAAGTCACTTCTTTGTCATTTCCAGCCAGAAGAAACCCATTAGGAAAAAAACAAACAAACAAACAAACAAACAACACTGTAAATCCGACCTTAGCATGCTAATGAATAATCTTGCGCTTAACTGTATTACTGTCTCTAAACATAAACCTAAAACATAAAATAATAATGAAAACTAGAAAAGCACTCAGAGAGGTCAGAGCTCCACCAAGCAGCTCATTTCCTCCATATTGTGATTTCCAGCCAATGTTAAAGTCCTGCATTCACTTTATCTCCACTATTAGATTCATGGAGAATCAAAACATACCTTTAGCATTTCAATTAACATTGATATCAGTAATAACAAACTGACAGAGTGATGAACCGTCGTTCTTTATTCTCAAATATTTTCTACACTTATGTTATTTCTACAATTACTTACTGGCTTTAAGCTGTTAGCTAACGCTATGCTAGGTTGGCATAACTACAGCGATGTTATTGCCAACATAAACAGACAGGGAGTAACTTAAGCTATCTTAGCACAACTTTAGCAATGCAACGTAAATGAAAAGCATGACCAACATAACGAAGCATGCGTCCTTCATCATGATGCATGGCAAAGAGAGTTCAAGTGAAACAGGATACATGTTGAGTCATTATTAATGTCACAACATCATTATGAACTTATCTGTCAGTAGCTCCGCTCAGCCCACTCCTGTAATGCTGCCTGGCTGCAGCTTCCTCCTGTACTACTGAGAAGACAGCAGTGAGGACTGAATGGAGTCAGAGCTCCACCTAGTGGACAAACGGCGCAACGACAGCATTCTGCCGACTGCGCCACTTAGTAGCATTTACCGTTTTATGAGAAAATAACCAGACATTAAGCCAGAACATCACCAAAATGACAGACAGACAGATAAACGGCAGCAAAAACATAACCTCCTTGGCGGAGGTATTAAACTACAGAATCAATCAGTTCAGTGACATAGCGACGTTATTCACGCGCATGCGCAATGACGTCATGTCAAATCAAACGGCGGCCGAGCTCCGGTAAAAGACCGCAGACTGAGCAGGTGTCACTTCTCATCTGGACAGCCTGAGCTTTGGAAAGCTAAACTCTGGGAGATGTAAACGCTGCAAAGTATCTGAAGATCAAACTCAGTGGATTAAGTGAAGGAAGAAGAACAGAGCTGCTGGAGAAAAGGACCTGGACAGGCAGCATGCAGGTAGGAAAACTAAACTAGTGTTTTTCCTGCACCCGGTTCATTAACTGACCGCAATAAGCACATTAATCGTGTTTTGTATACAGAAATGAGAAATTGCTGACTATGAAGTTTTGTTAAGTAACTGAATTTTTAATGGCCCGTTTGAAAAACACACTTTGATGGATGCTGATGTTTTCTTCGTGTAAAATTGCTATTTCTGGGTTTTACTGTATTATAAGTCTCATAAAATGTGTTAGCAATGCTGTAGTATGAGAAACAAAACTGTTTTTGGTTTAAGGACATCGATTTTGTTGAGTTTGGTATAGAAATTTTGGAAAACAAGATGGCGCTGGAGCTATATTTCATAAAATGCTCAAAGTAAATATTTTTGGTAACCATGGAGACCATGGAACGTTAGCAGCAGCAGAACGTGCAGGTGTAAAGAAAGCAGCACTTTTAGTGGACGAATCTGTCATGTTTTTAGTCAAACTGAGAGCTGCTCTGCTGTTTTCTTCAGAACTGTCAGTGACTGTACGTCTCCTGTACACGCTTGGATTTACAGTTTCTAACCAGAGGAATAATCAGAGACTGTGGAGTCCCAGAAGATCACATGTTTCTCTCCTTACTTCGGAGGAGGACTAAGGTATGGCATCATCTTGTTTTTAAAAAACAAACAAACCTGTAAAAACTTCTTTAAAAGGCGTTTAAATGCCAAACGACAAAAAACTGAAGCTAAAGTAAAATACTTTGCACAGAAACACTGTTATTTTACCAATTTCCCCCAAACTTATTACAATCAAACACCTTTAATGAAGTGTTAATATGTGCTCAAGATGTGTAAACAGCAGTCTGATTTTGGAAGACAAAGTGCAAAAATGACATTTTGTTTAATTTAATTAGATTAAAAAATGTACTGTGTGTGAGGCTGAAGTGCTTGTACGATTTATTGACCCTCTAACTGTTCTTTCATGGTTAAATATATTGATATTGATATAGCATGTTTGTAGTGTGTGTAATTGTATAAAATAAGTAATTTTGTAGTTGAAATTAGGAGCTGTGATGCGACTTACAAGTCTTGTGCATATTATTTATGATGTATTATTGCCTTAAATGTTCTCGTTTTATAAACGAGTTAACAGTGGAAAGTGGTGAACTCGGAAAGCATGTAAGTGTAGATTTTAGTTAAACCATATTCAGGTGTTGTTTTGCAGAACTGATTATTGTATTTTACTAAACTAATTGTTTTTTTTTAAATATATTTCTTGGAGTATTTTTTTTTAAACAACTCCTGGCCTGTAATGTTTAAAATAGTTTGAACAACAACAAAAACAAACATATTTATTTATCGCTTAGTTACTCAGAAACAAATGACATTTTGGTCAGATAGTTTTGAATTCCTCAGAGTTCAGTGTTGTAAAAAATATTTAATTAATGTAACATTTCTGCAGACTTGTTCTGGTTTCACTTGGAAAGGACATAAATCTAAAAGTTCTTGATAGTTCTGACAAACATGAAGTCAGTTTTCTTGTATCCATAGATCTTTATGAGTTGACCAAATTAGTCATAATGTACTAACACTGATCTCTCTGCTGTCAGGAAGCTACATCTCTGACGGCGTCGAACCACGGGACTGTCCAGATGAACCGACCAACTGCTCCATCAGCTTCAGTGACTCAGCATCTTTGAGACGACCAACTCGTCTGTCTGTGTAGGGGCCTGTGAGGCCAAAATTGTGTACTTTACTTGTACATGCACTCATACAGATACAGAAAACTATTTTTATCCCACAAGTACACACAAACTCTTGACTTGTATATATGTGGGTCAGTCAGTGTCATTTCAGATAATGGGGTCATTCCATCACATATCATTGAGTTATTAGGACAATTCTGCTCGACCATCTCTGTTTGCATTAAATGATTAGAACACGAAAGAAGGATAGTTAAAAAAATGATTTGTAAAATTTTGGCTTTAAAAATCAAATATTTTCTGAGATAACATTCTTGAAACAGATACCTGTCAGTGCACTTTCGGCAAACTTTTTTGCTCATTGAATTTTGAGGCCAAGTTTGAATGACAACATGTCAGGAGCTTTCATCCAAACACAGCCTCAGATGTAATTTGTGTGGAAAAATTTGATAACGGGAATTTTAAACAAAATTGCATCTTAAGAAATTACTTGATATATCAAAATAAAATTTCAGTTGCAATTTTAAATA